GTTCATTCAACGCTCTCTTTTGATCCTGCAATGCTAACACATCTTGCGGTTTTTGATTGTACATTTATTGGGCTTACACGGCGCTCTCCACTCCTGTGACTTCTGAGAGCTTTTCATCAATCCTTGCGAAAGAGATCTTCGAACGAATTATAAATTGGTTACTTGGCCCACTTTTGGGATCCACCATTTGATAACTATGCTTAAACGCACACTAGACAATGTCTGTATCAGATGGGAACCTTTTCTAATGCAAAAAACTAGTTGGTATGCCTTGAGATAAAATGGGATTTAGGAGGCCCTTGACAATCACAACGTTGAAGGACAGACGGTTAGTTCTATAAGGAATACGAGCATTTGTCCCTTGAGTATTTAGTATCTTTTACTAGCATGGTGGCGTTAATCCCCCTTTTAGCCTCAGTTCTCTCCTCTTCTCTCTCCCGTATGCATATGTGTTTATGTGTGCTCTCCAATCAACTTGTCACAGCTTGTATTTTCCTCTTCCTATATGCCTATGTTATATGGCTTTCTTAGAGAACTACCGGTGCTATCGTCTGATGAGTCATAGCCCAGACAAAGTAATGTGGATAATTATATTTCTCACGGCGATAAACAAAGAGAGACATTCCAGAATTATCTTTATCCTGACTTTCTCTTTCACCAGCCTCACTGTTTTTATCCCTACTTTATCAGCCGACGTGTCTGACTCTATGTCTTCTGCCGTATTACGGAGAGAATGACAAATTTCTTTCACTATCAGCCAACTGTGAGTGCCCTAGTAGAACCCGTGTTCCAGCCCACTCTAACTTAGGCTCTTCGAATTGACCGTCTCCCTCGAAATTGGGAAGATTAATGGAGTATTAACGGGATGGGGGTCGGAGAGCCTTGTCTCATGCTTGCCCCGGCCCTATTTTATATAACCGGCCCTCATATCCAGCTTGATAGCAGTCACATTCTAAATCTTGTGCCCAAATCTTCTGTAAACACGTCACTTCAGCCATAGCCTCCACACGCCTAAGCCCGACTGTGCATATATACACACGAATACACCATGTTAAGGCCCTAGTCATTCCGCGTTAACGCATCCTCTCAGGGTGACTAAGACTCGAAGATTCTTCGGCGACCCACCAGTCTGTATGATAACGGCCTCCCCCCTCCCAACTGAAGTCTATTCCACTTCACCAAGCATCTTTGTAATGCTCGCAAGAACGGACATCGACATTCATACACTTGGATACAGACACAGACACAGATACAGATATTTATACATTCTAGCTACGGCTACACCATTGGATGGTGCTGGGTCTCGGAGTATATGCTTAGGACGGCCTGTACAACTTCTGAGTTATGCTCTCCCCTGACTTGACTACCGCTGTCACTTCAGAGATGACTGACGACTTGTGTGATTACAATTCAGCGTTACCCTCCCACTGCGATACACCAATGAGAGCGAATTGTACACATTTATGCACTTTTCACATTGCCCAATGCACACGCACACATTATTCGCACTCATCAATACACATGCATACACACACATACACGCATAGTTTGCACCCATGCACATGCACATCGGATACACACACGCCAGCCCCTGAAAATACCGTCAACCAAGACGAATGCAGAATTGAGCTTATTTAACGCGTTATTAAACGAGGTCTTTCTTCCAGAGCTGGTAAGACCTCAAGAGATATGGACTTCACTCATTTTACTCTGTACTACTGAAGCAAAATCAAGTTGCTTTGATGAAAAAGTGAATAAACCAACGAGGCCCCTATAACCTATCCAAATCCAGTTTATTTGGATGGTGCTGCAGGGGTAGAGTTGCCGTGCCTGCCAAATTATAGCTTAACTAAATCCGTCACTCACTTGTGCTAATCAAGAACTATGGAAATAGAATGTGAAACTTTTGCAAAGTGGAAGGTCACGTCTCCTTAACCTAGTGCTAACCTGAGGCTGAGTTCTAGCTCTGGTCATGTCCGTCATATACTGGACGAAGCTCAGTCCGGCTTTCACCCGAAAGGAGCGATAGAATCAACATAAATATCGTATCAAAGTCAAACGGCCGCAGAACGACGGGATTCGAATGTTTTTTTCTGTGAAATCTACCAATGAATATATGAAGACCAAGATGTTGTGGCCTCTGGTGTGGTCGCAGTCTCCTTTCGATTGATAGAAGTGGGTTGACCTCCCTGAAAACAAGACCAAGTTGCGACAACGAGGTCAACCCACTTCTACCAATGAATTTCTTCATCATTCACTTTTATACCAAATGAACGTCCCCCCAATAATGTTATCATAAGAGTTTCACCGAAACCAAGTTAATCCTATCTACATGCTTTGCATGTAGCAAGTTCCTCAGCAAGGTATTCCTAAAAAAAGTAATTGTGAAAGTGCCTGATGAAGCGCTTCGTGAGCTGATCTCATTCTATTACCACGACTTGTTCTCGTTTTTCTGTAGTCACTTGATCCAACCAAGACGTCCTCAAAGCTTCACTCTTCGATTTAGATGCAAACAATCTGAGCTTTTTTCGTTTATAAGCAGAGTTTCGAGACTATCAGTAAATCAGTTATATGAGATGTACTCACCTTATTTCGTTTAAGGTGATGAACAACTTTTGGGAAAGCAACGCTATATGAAACCCAATGGAAACATCAGCACCACTGATATAATTGTGGGAAAAATCAAGTACCGTTCCTTCGTCGCCTTAAACGAAATAGGATGAATACATCTCATATTGTCTGAGCTTTCCTTTTTTTTCGTTTTATAAAGAGGTTTTCAAAACTAGGCTTTCGTCCATCTAATAAAAGAGGTTGTTGTATTCCTTGTTTTGGAGTAGGTTTCGGCACTACCACTGCTCTACATTTAATATATCTTGTTAGAGTTAGTTCTCAATCAGGTTAATACTTAATCTAGAGGACTAACC